GAGAGCTTCAGATCTTGTTGCAAGATATTCCTGAAAACAGGAGCAGAACAGGAGAATACCCTTTTGCCAAGTTCAGTCCGCACATGATTTGAAGATGAAAATGTACCAGTTGGATAGTTTGCAAGAAGTTAATGATGTCCAGTTAACCAGTGAATACAGGGTGCAATGATTGTTACGGTAGTTACAGCCAGTTATGAATCTTAGCGCACCGTGATAGACAGCGTCCAACATCTATAAGGTGCTTGTAGGAGCGTTCATGTAAATAATGTCACTGGAGTCAATGGAGGGAAGGAAAGTCGCAGTTACAAGGTGTTTCCTAGCATTCAGAGTTAGACAGGATCTATTTCTGAAAAAGAAACCCAATTTAACTTTCAGTTTCCTTACTAGGTTTTCCACATGGAGCTTAAAAGAGAAATGTGAATGACCAAGATACCCAAATATTTGTAAGAATCGACAAACTCAATAGGGACACCATTCTCGGACAAAATCAAAGGAAGCACTTCTGGGACTGACTTCCTGTTTGAAAACAGCATCCCTTTGGTTTTGTCAGTGTTTAGGACAAGTTTGAGGTGGAACAAATCTGACTGGATGATGTCAAAGGCGGATTGCAAAAGCTGAAAAACTTTAGCAACTGTTTTAGCTCGACAATAAACAGCTGTGTCATCAGCAAAGAAATGTAAGGATGTATCAGGGATGTTCTGATCTACATTACCTATGTAGATTGTGAAGTGAGTGGTTCCTAAGACAGAGCCTTATGGTACACCTTAAGCGACCGTGAGCTTAATTTTCTGTTTCTGAGTTAATTTTTGTCATTAAAATCTAGACTTTGCCAACTTTAGGCAGCCAGTAGCTCACTGTGATATAACAAAACAGTGCAGTTTGCACAAACGGTAAAATAGTTGCTTTTTATGACCTAACATGCAGGTCATGGCGTGGTCAGTAAGTGCAATGTGAAGGAAACACATGATGTCAGAAAAAAATCTGCAGGTTCAGATGAAATTACAAACCTTTTGTTCCTAAATGTGTAAAAAGTGCTTTGTGCCGGGGTTATCAGGTTGATTGCCCACAAACTTTATGTTCCAGTTTTTGATTTATGGCTTAACATTGTAAAAAAATGTTGATGAAAACGGAAAGGGCAAATAACAAAGAGTGATTGTTATGGAGTAAAGACAAAACTGAGACAAGATTAATGAGTAAATCCAAATCTGAAACAAATGGGGTTTGAAATGAGACGTGCAGGTTTGTGCCAACAGTTATCTGATTGCATTTTCACTTTTTTATTACCAAAAGCAGCCCGAGGCCGTCTGGGTATAGTTTAGTCTATTCCGAGTCTGGAATCCTGGAATTAAAAGAGCTTTTTGGATCTCATGATCTGCTTACATTACCACATATCTATTTTCTGCATCGCACAATATCTAATAAATCAAACTGTCCTGAAGCTTGGAGAGAGCTAATCATTGCCTGAACACTGGTGTATCAGTTAGAATCACTACAAGAAGGCAAATGAAATGAATTTAAGGTATTTTTTGTCACATTTCAAAACAAACGAAGCAGACTGTTTGTTCAAAGAGCAACAGTGCTAAGAGTCTTTTTGGAGAATTAGTTTAACACCCACAGGTGGTTTTGGTAAATCACACCCTGCACAGAAGGACAGACAATAAACAACCCAAAAGTTCAGACGCTAAAACATTTAGGACAAAAAACAACCTGAAACGTGTCTTAGACATTTTCTTGCTTTTCTCAAGGTGTTTCCTTTCCCTCTGCTTGCTTTTCAACATATTTCTGCTTCTGTGGGCGAAATCACACAATGGCCAACACTGATTGCTTTATTTTCTCAGTGTGCCCCCCTCCTGCGTTTGTTATTGCAGAACAGGAGGATATGCTGGACGGAGGAGTGGGATGATGCTGAGGCTGCACAATCTGATCATTTTCTCTCTAATAATTGGAAATCCTGGGCAGTTTGTTTGGACCAAGTTCAGATGATATGCCATGCAGCTTTAACTTTATTAGCTGAACACTGAGGACTACCCACCTGTCTGCATGGAGGAATATCTTATTACCTGTGGGGGCAACCCCCATTGCATTTAAACACATACAAGCAAGGGATGGGGCACAGAAAGTCTCTAATGCAGCTTTTCCTCTTCCTGTTGTTGAAATCAGCCATTTTATGAAAAGAAAAAATAAACTTCAACCATCCATTATCTTCCGTTTGTTCCGAAGCCGGGTCATGAGTGCATCATCTTAAGCAGGGAGGTCCAGACTTCTCATTCCACAGCCACCTCTTCCAGCTCTTCTGGGAGGACTCCAAGGAGTTCCAAGACCAACCGAGATAAGTCTCTCCAGCATGCCTTGGGTCTTCCCTGGGGTCTCCTCCCAGTTGGACATGCTCAAAGCACCTCCCCAGTGAGAGGTGAGGTCCAGGCAGCATCCATACCAGGCGTCTGAATCACCACAACTGGCTCCTCTCAATGTGGAGGAGCAGCGGTTCTACTCCCAAGTCTCTTCCAGATAAATTAATTCCTCACCCTAAGGGAGAGTCCAGCTATCCTTCAGAGGAAACTCATTTCAGCCTCCTGTATCCATGATCTCATTCTTTCAGTCACTACCATACGTTTGTGGCCATAGGTGAGGGTAAGA